CTGTGTGTCGTGTGTGTGTGTGTGTGTGTGTGTGTGTGTGTGTGTGTGTGTGTGTGTGTGTGTGTGCTGGTGGCATTTTTGACAGATGTGTTGCTGTGAGTCACACACCTTGATGTTTACAGACTTCTCTCTCTCTCTCAGACCTTCTAAAGCAGCTTTCACTCCACTAATGTAATTTTAATCAAACAAAGCTTGTACACTCAAATGTTATTAATCCAATCAGATATAATTTGATGATCAGTGCTTAACTCACTCTGTATCCTGTCAAGAACATGGTCATGTTTCAGGACACCAGTATTTTTGTCTTGTTTTCCACTAAAAATAGCTAAATATCCTATAAAACAAAATTCTTCTTCTTGTTGCTTTAAGTTATGTAAATAAGATAAAATGTCTTATTTTCAGAGAAATTTTAATCTTGAATTAAGTTTATTTTGTCACCTGTCTTGAGCATAAATCCATAAAACCTCTTAATTCTATAAATTCTCTTAAACAAGTCCTAATATCTATTTCTGAAAACAAGACAAAACTATTGATTAGGAATTTTTTTTTTCTGCAGTGGTCTCTTTGCAGTTTTGAAGAACCATCAAGATTTTTTTTGCATTATAGCATTATTTTCATGACAATAAATACTTTAATATAGTCTTTTAAAAAAAATTTGAGGTGCTTAATCGTCTTGAAAATAATGTCACATTTCGAAAAATGTAAATTGTTAGAAAAAAATTCAGTCATCTGCCACACATACTGCCTATTCAACACAACCAAACCACTCAATAACAGACGTCAAATGTCACAATCACTGGTATTCGGCAGGTAAAACTCCAGCATGTGGCTTCTTAGACAATGACTAAGACTTTGGACCTAATGACATTGATGTTCCCTTTAGAATAGTCCAGTCTGGGCAGTGGAAACAAATGCTGAGACTAAAGGTTTCTAATTCCCTTTTCCAATCAATTTATTAGCTCTTCTGTGATTAATAGTTGAACTCACTGTCTCTTTATTAAGCCATTACAGCATTATAGAACTCAATTAATCAATCTACTGAAAAATACAGATGAGACGATTAAATCTGATTAGAGTAACCAATATTTTTCCAACACAACCCCAACAGGTAATCAACTACTAATTCACAATGCTAATCAAATTTAATTGGATATGATGTAAATGCAATGCTGAAGATCATCATAACGTACACTATGGAAAATATGTATATTTTAATCTGCACTTATTCTGAATGTATGTTGTTTTAGAGTCACTTTATTGGATAGCTAATGAAAAATCAATGTCTCTACACTAAATGACCAAACGAATGTGACACCACACCTACAAACGAACAGGTCTGGCTATTTCATCTACACAGACTACTAACACAAGCATATATACAATCAAGCATATAGAAATGCAATTATTTTTATTCCAGCATGATAATGACCTGCACACCAAGCGAGGTCCATAGAGAAATGGTTTGCTGACTCTGGCATGAAAGAACTTGATTGATGCACTAATGCTCCTGTGTCTAAAAGAGAGCAATTCCCTGCATACATGATCTAAGATCTAGTGGAAAGAAGAGTAGAAGCTGTTTGAGAAGACTCATTTTTGGACAAAACGTCTCAATGTTTCTAACAAACACGCAGCTTTTGGCTGAACGAGATGTTAATTGAAGGACTGGAGTGGTGTGGATTATCAGATGTTTTTATCAGCTGTGGATTATTAGCTGGATTAATTTTTATCAGCTGTTTGGACTCTCATTCTGACGGCACCCATTCACTGCAGAGGATCCACTGGTGAGCAAATTATGTAATGCTAAATTTCTCCAAATCTGCTCCCATGAAGAGACAAACTCATCTACATCTTTAATGTCCTGAGGGTGAGTACATTTTCAGCAAATCTTCATTTTTTGATGAACTATTCCTTTAATTTTATAGCTCTATATTTTTATGGATGCCACCTGTTATCTTTTTTTTTTAAATCTATTTATATATCAATTTAGTCTAAATAATATTACGAGGTATTTTAAGCTAGATTGCAATGATTTGCAACCTGTACTGTTAACAACAACCCAATCTCAAACCACCTTTAAGCAGATTCCGGTGTGGAATCAGAAAACTGTTTCACTATCCAAATGAACCGAACTATAAAGTGAAACTAACTCGGTTGTGCTAATTGTGAAAGCACACTGTGAGATATGTGCATTTAATTCCAAGTTATTTTTTCAGCCAGTTATTAGTTTACTTAGTTTATTATGTAGCTGCTCCAAATTATTGCGCTTGACAGTGTGTTATGCAATGCCTCATAAAGACGGGCAGCTCATTAGCCCCTCTCTCTCTCTCTCTCTCCCTCTGTCGCCCCGAGGAAAGCCGATTCTCATGTGTGGTCGTCCGTGAGCTTGAGATGCAAAAGACATGGATTATCGATCCGAAGCAGACGCAGGGCTCTGACCCCATACCTCACATACAGACACTCCTCTGACAGCCTCAGCCCTTCCTGATGCATATTTAAGATAAAGCGAGAGTGATGGGAGACAGCAAGAAAGAGAGAGAGACCCACCCATTAACACAATTACAATCCGTTGCTCATCTCACATTCACTCATTACCCCGCGAAACCTCGGCATGCACAGATCCGTTTCTGCATATGCGTTCTAAACCTTAAAATGCATGTATTTTAAATATGAGCACAGCTGATTTTGAGGCCCCTTGACCGAGAACATCATCAGGGTGGTTGTCCCGGAATGCATGCATGCAATCATCCATGCATGCACTAAGCAAACGCTAATTTGCGAGAGCGATGCATGCTCTCAGTACGAGAAATGCAACAAATCAGAGCTGCGGGAATTAGAGAGCTCTTTATAATCCAGCGAGCGCTTCAATCATCCCTCTCTGCCTGCGAGGACATGCCACCAGATGTTGATCAGCGAGAAACACGCTGCAAGCATCAGTCTCGGACGTACCACAAAGTCTAATGGCACAGAATGTCATAAAAAGTGATGCACAGATTCACGCACGCAAAAAAATGCATGATCAGTTCAAGTGCAATTTAAGGTTCAAGATGCAACAGTTTAAGTTAGTACACACACGTACCTGAATCACAACCCTCTCCGACAGCATGCAAAATCCATCCACTAGCATCCGTCGAACTCTTAAACGCCCTGCCGCGATGCCCAAAGCATCCTCCGACGATGCAAACGTACACAGCGAGCCCTCAGTTCCACGTCCTGCTCTCTCTGCGATCCATACCTCCCTCGTCGCCTGCTGCAGCGCTCAGCTCAACCTTGGGATGAAGTCTGGCTCGGCGGGCGCATGCTATTGCAAATCACAGACGGATCCTGGGTGAAATCCCTCCTCTCCGTCCGGCTCTCCCAGACTGATTCGCAGCACTCCACCGGGCAGCAGACTGTGTGTCTAGGATGGTTAAAGCTCCCTGTCTGGATGCACGGTGTGTGAACGTGTGCTGAGAGAGAGTACGAGAAGCCCTTGGAGGGTGCAGCCCTGAGCTCTCTCTCGCTCACCTCACACAGAAAGAGATGCACAAAGCCGCTGTTGCGATTCACAGACCTGCACACGTGACACGAGAGAGAGGGAGAGAGAGAGAGAGAGAGAGAGAGAGAGAGGAGAGAGAGAGAAAGAGGAGAGAGAGAGAAGGGAGGATGGGAAAGGATGAGACGCACAGCAGGAAGGCTGGATGAATGTGTGTGTGTGTGTGTGCGTGCGTGCGTGCGTGTGTGTGTAACAGAATTGAAGACTGACTTGCAGCTATTAAACCCTTGCATTAATATCCTGCGCTCTTTCTCTCGTTTTAACCTCTCTCTCATTCTGTCTGTTTCATTCATGCTCTAATTTGTAGTGTTTACTAATGCAAATATCTCTAGTACTTAGAATAAACCTTTAGCACTGAATATTAAAGTTGAGCATGTGCATCGTCCTTCAGCGCTTGTGCTGCATGTATGAATGATTCCTCAAATGGTGTGTTGTTGAGAAATGCTGTGCTGCTACTTTACTAACTGATCAGATGCACCTTTCTCACCTGCTGGACAATGAAGCAGGTGAAAAAATCCCAGAGATGCACACTGAAACAGGAGCAATCACCCAGTACACACTACCTAGCAACGTCCTAGCAACCGCATAACACTATAACAACTCCATAGCAACCATAGAACACCATAGAATCATTCTAGCAACCTCGCAAAAACCCTGTTAACTGCATAACAATGCACTAAAAACATGCATTAGCAATCACATCGCCCTAGCAACTACATAGCAACCACCTAGAAATCACCCAAGCAATCATCTATGATGCCATCTAGAGTCATAATCGTTAACTAAAACTATTAAAACATTTTGTTAATTGACAAAGCTGAAATACAATTAAATATATACAGGTACCGTCCAGTCATCCCCTTACCCAGTCAATAAACCATCCTGATTTGCACTTACCTGTTGTGTCTGGCCTTGCTTTGTGACAACAACACAGGGGGGAAATAATAATAATAATTAAAAAACAATCAAAATGACAAAAGCACATGAAATTACTAGAAATTTAATTAAAATTAAAATTAAAATTAAAAATAAATGCTACATTGGCAACTAACTGAAATAAGTTTAGGTTGAAGTACTAAAATTGGAGTGCAAATTGGAAATTAAAACTGAACTCAAAGTAAATGAACCCTAAATATTAATATTTGAATAATAATAATAATAATAATAATAATGATGATGACAAAAGAACATAAATTTACTAGAGAATTCCTTAAATAAAAAAAAATATATATATATATATAAATGTTGCCTTGGCAACTAATTGAAATACATTGAAGCACTAAAAAAATTTAGAATTAAATGTAGAATTCAGCCAATAAAATAAAATAACAAACTAAAAATAAAATAAAATAAAAATAACAACAGCACATAAAATGACGAAGCTGCGTCCCAAATGACGCACTAAACACTATGCACTCATACACTATGTACTTATGCACTATGTACTTGTCACGTTGCACACACACAATAAAACCAAGGGAAACACCTGGGACAAATGAAATAAACTAATCAGGATAGGAACAGGAAACTAACCAAATAGGGGCATGGGAAGGCACATGGGGAGCAGGACACACACAAAACATGGAACAGAGTCTGACAGTACTACACCATGTGTAGTATGAATTATATAAGCTTATTTTGTCATTCATAATCGGAGTCTGATAGCTCCTCCCCCTTCGGTACGTAATTAAAGCTGCGACAATTGAGTGCATGAAGTGTCCAACATTGCACACATTAGCTGTGTCCCAAATCGCGTACTTGTGCACTAGTCTATGACGTTTTATAGTATAAATAGTGCGAAATAGTGAGTAGTGCGTTCACACTGAAAATTCCAAAAAGAAAAAGTGCACTTTAAATACCCGGATGATGCACTTAAATAACCGAAAAAATGAAGTGTGGAGTGTTGGACACTTCATGCACTCAATTGTCGCAGCTTTAATTACGTACCGAAGTGGGAGGAGCTATGAGACTCCAATTATGAATGACAAAATAACCACTACATACACTACATGATTGAGTGACAATTTATACTACAAAACGTCATAGAATAGTGCATAAGTACGCAATTTGGGACGCACCTTGACACAGTATAAATAATACTAAACTAACACTGATGCCATAACAACCATTCCAAACACCCCAAGCAACCACCCAAAACACCTTAGCAACTGCATAGCAACACTCTAGCAACCACCCAGAACACCCTAAGCAACTATCTATAATGGACATGAGTCCTTTGTACGTAACCTAGAGACGTTCCCCTTCAGGAACTCGAGCTGCGTCGAAGACGCTTTGGGAACGAGAATACCCACTGCGCCATACTACCAACTCCCTGCCTGTGTGTGTATCTTGCGAGCACATCCTTCAGAGTGGAGGGAGATAACCTTGCGGAGAATCGCTCCTGCAGAAACTCCAGAACTGTACCAATTGGGCAGTTAACTGGGTCCTGCAGTCGCTGTCTGCACCATGAAGTGAAGAGTTTCCACTTCAAGGCGTACCGTTTCCTAGTGGCGGGAGCTCTGGACTGGAGTATAGTCTCAACAACCTACTGATTTGACACGTGCTTCAGAACGCGGTCACGCAAGGGCGTTCCCAAAGCGACTTTGACGCAGCTCGAGTTCCTGAAGGGGAACTAGCACTCACATTTTCTTCAGAAGACAAAACATCACATTGTACTGCATTATAGAATATGATTGCACTTATTACTATATTATTCACTCTGCAATTTGCATGAGAAAAAAGAATGTAATCAAGCATTGATATTCAACACAATATACTAAGCTCCCCATCTGTACGGAAGTCTTAGATGCCTATAGTTAGCACAATCTTTTACAGTCTCTGTGTCCTTGTAGAGTATGATTATCATGTGTGATTGGTTTAGAGCTGATAGCTGAGAGCTAATTTATCCTCTGTGCTATTTCCAAAGCTTTTATTATGATTTCTGTATCACTCAGGAAGCAGGGGATGTGTCATGTAATCCCGCAAACTGCCACTAATTTGTCTGGCCTCCCAGCTAAATTGCCTTTCCAGACTCTTTTTGCCTGTTACAATAGAAAAGGGGCGTGTAAGTGAGAGAGAGAGAGGAGAGAGAAAATCAACTACAGCTGGAGGGAAGCATGAATTTGGGATGTTAATGCAGAACACGGCTCTTGGTCGCCCCCTAGTCTAGACACGGATAATCGACAGCCTCCATGAAAAATCATGCACAAATAATCCACAGCTGTTCATCTATGAGAGGTGAGAAATATAACTAAATATTCAGACTAATGCTCTGCTTCACTATAAAGGTGATGTGTGCTTAGTTATAATCTCTGTCACATATGCACATACCGCTAAAACTCTAACACATTTCCATAATCCTGTTTATAACTGCTTAAAGTCAACAATGTCATGAAATGACATTTGAAACCCATATTACCATTATTAAAATGGGTTATAAAATGGGTTGGGTTGTAAAATGGGTTGTTAACTTTATTAAAATGTCAACAAAAATGTAATTTTTAGGGCCCATTTTATTTTTCTCAAATTCTGTTTTATTGTTTCCAAAATTAGTGTTTTAATTATTCTGGATTACATTTTAATGGTTTAATTACATTTTAATAATCAAAAAGCATTTCTAATCAACTGAGTTCATGATTTTTTAAAAATAAAATAATGTAATAATTTATTTACATTTTTACAATAATAGAGCCCTATAATTGATTCATTGATTAGAAATGCTGTGCTGTTTATTTTTTTCTGGATTTATGATTTAATTTTTAAAATGTATTATCAAAAACAGTGGTGAAATTAATGCATAAAACATTAACAATTTAATCTTTTAAAATGTAATCAAAAGAAAATTTAACAATTTTATTTTTTGGCAAACAAAAGTGCTGCACAACATAGGTTTACTGTTAAAATACAAACATGGAATTTTTGTGATTATCACTTCAAAAAATTTATAAATAAAGTTTTATTATTATTATTAACCATTATATTATCCATACTTTTATTTTGACAGGTTGTCATAAAGACCTTTGAGAATCCCTGATTTAATAGACCTGAGTTAACATGAACTAACAAACAGTAGTTGTATTTTTATCAACATTAACAAAGATTAATAAATCGTGTGCATTGCTAGTTAATGTTACCTAATGCAGTAATGTTAACTAATGAAACCTTACTCTCTAACAGGTGGTTGACAAATAAAAAGAACTGATGACAAGCTTTTTTTTCCCCTTTAGAATAACATGCATACATCCATCTTTTCCATGCGTATTAGGAAAGTAAATCACGTCCGTTTTAATTTCATGTTGACTCTGAGACTACAGATTAAAGGTCTAGTCACACCAAGAGCAAATATTCAGTCAAACAAGACTTTAAAATCAAAAGAATCCACATGAACCTATTCACACCAGGGACAACATTCATTCGACAAGCACAGAGGACCTGTAGGTCTTTTGTGGTGTTGTGGGTTATGTGGTGTAGATCCGTCAGCTTTTCACATTGCTCCAAATACAAGGACCGTAAAAGCCACAGCAGTAAGAAAACCAGCGGAGCAAAAAGAAGTGATATTAAAATCAAGAGAGCGCTGTACATTCACTCCCCCCACCTACAATCCCTGCCGGTACGAGACTCCAACCTTTGGATTATGAGTCCGACTCTCTGACCATTAGACCACGACTTCCCCTTAATGTGGAAGCATCTGTTGTTTCGGTTTCTTCTTCACTTCTGTTTTTTGGAAATTCTGTACAGAAGATGTGTACTAGCGCCCCCTACAGTATAACAATGAAAACACGGATTCTAGGAACACAAGTATAGCTCAAATATATTTAGACTTTTTCTAAGTATAAGTCAAGAATACTTAAATGTCATTTTAAGTATATTTCTGAGAAGTACATAAAGCCCATTTCTGAGAAGTACATAAAAAGTAGACTAAAAGTATACTTTCCTATTTTTAGTTTAAAAGAAGTATACTAATAGCACACTTGAATAAACTTCTTTTTCGTAAGGGTGCTGACAAAATGGAAATGTTTTTAATAGCCTATATGGCACCGAGCTAACATCATTTCATTACATCAGCTGTACGATTACTAACTGTACACCTCGATTATCATTATACTGCAGTATGTTCTTATATCACTGCATTAAAGTAAGTGAAATTTGTATTAAATGACCTGTACAGAATATTGCATTTTTCTCAGGTTATTTTAACCTGTTAACCCGCACCTGGACGCCGGCGCACTGAATGCTCTTTGTTTGCAAATGAAATTTGTATTATCAAACGGGTTGTATTTCACAAGCAAATTTGCATTGCAATAAACAAATAGTTCAGCTAAAAATGAAAATCACAAGTTTGGGGTCAGTAAGATTTTTATTTGTTTGTTTGAAAGAATATATTACTTTTATTTAGCAAGGATGCATTAAATTGACCAAAAGTGCCATTTATAAAAACATTTATAAGATTTCTATTTTGAATAAATGCTGATCTTTTGAACTTTCTATTAATCAAAGAATCCTGAAAAATCACACTTTACAGAAAAATATGAAGCAGCAACTGTTTACAACATTGATAACAATCAGAAATGTTTCTTGAGCAGCAAATCAGCATATTAGAATGATTTCTGAAGATCATGTGACACTGAAGACTGGAGTAATGAAGCTGAAAATACAGCTTTGATAACAGGAATAAATTGTATTTTAAATATATAAAGTGAAAGTGACGTGACATGTGGCCAAGTATGGTGACCCATACTTGGAATTAGTGCTCTGCATTTAACCCATCCAAAGTGCACACACACAGCAGTGAACACACACACACCGTGAACACACACCCGGAGCAGTGGGCAGCCATTTTTTTTTGCTGCGGCGCCCGGGGAGCAGTTGGGGGTTCGGTGCCTTGCTCAAGGGCACCTCAGTCGTGGTATTGAAGGTGGAAGAGAGCGCTGTACATTCACTCCCCCCACCTACAATCCCTGCCGGTACGAGACTCAAACCCGCAACCTTTGTGTTACGAGGCCGACTATCTAACCATTAGGCCATGACTTCCAATATATATACAGTGGGTACGGAAAGTATTCAGACCCCCTTAAATGTTTCACTCTTTGTTATATTGCAGCCATTTGCTAAAATCATTTAAGTTAATTTTTTTTCCTCATTAATGTACACACAGCACCCCATATTGACAGAAAAACACAGAATTGTTGACATTTTTGCAGATTTATTAAAAAAGAAAAAC